CCTTGCCCTGATTCTACCAGTCTGCAAGCCACTTCTCCACAAAATGGAAAATTGGTCCCAGGCGGCCAGTGCGGAGAAGCCAGGTGACAGAGACCCAGGTGTCTAGCTGTGGAAAGCGAGCCACAGAACTCAGTTAAGACACATGGGACAGGGGAGCAAGGGACACCACAACGCAGCTGAAGGCAGCAGAGCCGACCCCGCTGCGGCTGATCATAGAAACACACATCTGTACTGACTCGCTCAGTCTACCCAGCCGGCCACCAAGTGGAAAGGCAGCTATTGGGCTGAAAGCTGCCTCTTCACTCTGGCTTCCCGAGGCCGTCACCTTGACGGGAGCAGACGACCGCGTCTCTACCACTCCGTGGTGGCTAAGTGCAACAGCTGACCTTCCAGAGAGCTTCTCGGCGCACCGTCAGGGAATCGACTCTGGCTTCTGATCCTACAGAGCGGAGCAGCCCCCACAGGGCTCCAAGGCTGTAACATGTACAGACACAGACGGCCCCTGTGCTGGGAGATGTAAAGCACCAGGCCTGTGGTCGGCAGTTCAGTGTTCACTCCCAGGCACCATCACAGCTCCTTTTCTAACTTGCTGTTAGGGGTCCTCACGGCTCCGACTCACAGCGAGCCCACGTACATGGAAGGAGCCCTGCTCGACGGCGCCTCGGTGTTCCCTCAGTGCACTGCCATCCAGCGGACTCCGGCTTATGGCCACCCTCCACAGGTTTCTGGGGCTGTATGTCACAGTGGGGGGCACTGTCCATCATTCTCCCACACAGCCCAGCCACCTGAGCAGGGCAATTGTGGTTGTGTATCGCTGAGTGTGCACTGATCCACACAGTGACCCTCCAGCGGGTGTTCAGAGGCAGCAGACAGCACAGGAAGTGAATGCCCATCCTTCGACCACGGAGCAGCTGGTGGATTTGAACAACCTGCCTTCAGGCTGGTGGTTCAACGCCACAGCACGAGCCCACCAGAGCTCCCTCACACTGCGGGACAGCAGATTGGTTACGACAGGATTTCATTTCTCCTCCATTACTCAGCTGACACATACAAGGAACCTGCCTCCCGGGTCACTGAGCTGGAGGAAATGATGTGTCTGACTGGCGGCCCGACCGGTACCGGGCAGGCCTCTCTCTACAGCTCGACAAGGGAGCTACGTGCTGGAGAACACAGCTCGCGACACCTGGCCTCTTCACGTCTCGAGGGACAGCACGCACGGACCTCACCCACACGTCTGGAGTGGGGCTTTTTGTGGCTGGTTTTGCTTTCACTTCTTTAAGGGACTTATCAGGAAGTCAGTGTGTGTGGCGGGGGTGGGGGAAGGAGCAGGAGGGCAGCTTCCCACATCTTTAAGAGATGCTCAGCACAGCTTTTGAGAAAGGGGGCACCTGTGCACGTGGGTACCTTACGCTCTTGAACAGGCTCACGAGACTGTCAGGAGTCACAGTGGCCCAGCAGTTAAGCATTAGGCCATCAGCAGACAGGTCAGTGGTTTGAACCAACCAGTTGCTCTGCAGAAGGCCGTGGCCGGCTGCTGCTTCATGGCGACAGCCTTGACAATCCCACAGGCAGTTTTGCTCTGTCCTACAGTGCTGTTAAGAGTGGACACCGAGCCGCCAGCAATGGGTTCGGGCTATGTGTTGAGTGTTAATGTTGGTGTCGTATCCCACTGAGTTAAATGGGCTCGCAGCTGCCCCTCCAGCGCATTTCCGGAGGCTGTTGAGTCCGCGTGGGAGAAGACTGCCTATGTTTCTCCTGTTCAGCGGCAAGGGAATTTGAACCATCTGATCTGCTTGGCAGTACACCTCCTTGCCATTGGGCTGCCAGAGTTCCTTGTGGCACAGTAGTTAAAACACTCAGCTTCTAACCAAAAGGTTGACAGTTCGAGTGCACTGGTGGCTCCACAGGAGAAAAGGCCTAGTAATCTGCTTCCATAAGGATTACATTCCAGGAAACCCTCTCCAGTCGAGAAGCAGTTCTCTGTCCTCTGGGGCCTCTTCAGAGCACACACAGTCAGCCCTCTCGCAAGAGCTTTAAGGGAGCTCTGGTGGCCTAGTGGCAAGACACTGCACTGCAATCCCAGAGGTACGCGGTTCAAATCCACCAGATGCTCTGCTGGAGAAGGAGGGCGCAATCTCCTCCTGTACCAGTCAGATCTGATTTGACGGTACACGTAAAAATAATACAATAAAAATTAAAAAAAAAAAAGAGAGAGAGAGAGAGCTTTGGTGGCACAGTTAAGGGGGAAGGTTGGCAGTTCAAACCCACCTAGTGGCTGCTCAGGAAAAAGTCCACATCATCGCCTTCTGTCAACACTACATCCTACAGACCTGCAGCCCTACTCTGTTACAGAGTCACCCTGAGTCAAAACGGACTGCATCACACAACAACCCCCAACCCCAGACAACATCCTAGCTGGTCCTCATGTCCACGCTGCACTTTCACATTTCCGTAAAATCAGGGAGCGAGCCAGGCAGGCCCAGGAATTAAGGCAGGCACTTCTGTGCCCTGTCACCTACCCCAAAGCAGGGCTCCACGGAAAGGCACCCCTTCCCCTTCCTCTCCCCCACAACCGACCAGCGTGAGGACTGTGCCTGTACAGGGCACTCAGTGCCCAGGCGGGGGAGGGGAGCGTGACCACAACTTCCCCTGTGCTCAGTCACTCCCCAAATAGCTGTTGGACCTCATCTGGAAACAGCTGGGAGGCGGCAGCAGCTAACAGGAAACCCAACCAAAGCAGCACAGAGTGTATCAGGGAGTCAGGCAGCCTGAACGAAAGCAGAGGCCAGGGACAGACAGGAAGTGGAAGTCCAAAAGAGCCGAGGCCAGAAATGCAGAGCAGGGGACCCAGCTGGCCTCCCTCTCTGCTCAAGGCCTCAAGGCCCTGAGACACACACCTGAGAAGCAGCAGGGCTGGGGGCGGAGGCAGCCCTGAGCTCAGGGCCTGCTCACTTCTGCTCCCTGCCTTTCGGTGCCAGAGGCCACAGACTCTGGTTTTGACTCATTCCAGCCCATCTGGACCGAAGGACTCCACTCGGGGTCCTGCCAAGCAGGCCTCACAAAGGCCACTGCCTCTGCCTGAGGGAGGGAGTCCATCGTACCTGAAAACAAAGGGCCTCCTGCACCAAACTAATGGGGCATTTCTCAATCCAGAAAGTTCCGTGAGTGATGGCCAGCAGCCAGCCAGAATGATTTTGAGAGAAATGGGTGGGTGGGGGGAAGCTATTAGTAAAATTGTCTGGTATTATTTGATCAGCCTTCAGGTTCTTCAAACTGAGGACAAAAGGGGTCAAGTTGGTCTTTCCTTCTGCAGGCCTGAGGGGAGACTGTCGTCACCTCAGGCCTCCAGTGAGTCACCCACATTCTCTCTGTACATCCAGAGATTTATTTAAAATAGAGAAGAGGATTATGTTCTTAATAAAACACATTCCTGTCTGTCACCTTCCAGAGCACAGTATACTGTTGTGATTTAGCTGGGTTTGACGCCTCTGGGGAGCATGGTGGTGCAGTGGTTGCAGCACCTGGCTGCTGACGGAGAGCTCTGCAGAAGGCAGACCTAGCCATCTGCTCCTTTACAGCCTGGGACTGTCCCTCTGGGCCACTAATCTGTCATCCAGGATCCCTGTGAGTCTGAAGAGACTTGAGGGCAAGGGGTTTGAGCAGGGCAATGAAGGGGTGCAGGGCCTCAAAACCATTCATTCTAACTGAAAAACAGAACATCCTTTCAGGCTCAGTGCCAGCTAAACTGGCAAGACCAGAGAGCCTGCACGGTGTGCCCAGCGCACCCGGAAGGGAGCTGGGAGAAGATCTGCCGCCCTGTTGGGTGGGGAAATGGGGGGTGCACTTCAGGAGCATAACAAAGAACGGGTTTCCTGATGGAATCACTTATTCCAGCGAGGGAAACACGGCACTCCCCAAGAAAGCAGAAAACAAAGGCAGAGGCAGTACCCCACTCTTCCTCTCAGCGTCCCTGTGCTGCCTGCAAAGACACTCCCTCCCGCAAGCACCGGCTCAGCTCAGTGTGTCTCCTTCCAAGACCACAGGAGCGAGTGCCTGGTGGACATGGGACAAGGCAACGGGAGAATGGCACCTGAGCAGGCGAGGGCCAGAGCAGAAAGGGGATCTGGCCTGGGGCTGATCCACCCCGCACTGGGGCCTGCAGACACCCTGACGTGGTCCCTCAGCTCTGGTTTCCCAGCAGCTGGGGCACCCACCCTCCAACTCGCCAGGGAGGGCAGGCTGCACCTCGACTGCTGGGGCTCCAGCAGGAAATGAGGGCCCCAGGAACATAGCCAGGGCCCCCCAGGAAAGGGGCAGGAGGCAGCCCGAGCCCCCCAGGAAACGGAGCAGGAGGCAGCCTGAGTTTCCCAGGAAAGGGGACATGACAGCCAGGGTTCAAGAGGGTAGGACAGTCTAGTCTCCCTAATAAAGTGGCCAGGGGGCAGCCAGGGGCCCCCCAGTAAAGTGGCCAGGAGGCAGCCATGGGCCCGCAGGGAAGGGGCCAGAGGGCAGCCAGGGCCCCCCAGAGAAGGGGCTGGCGAGGACAGCTTGCCTTCCCTGGGGCAGCAGCGGTCCCTCCCAGGATGTGCCAGTGTCAGGAAGGCGTGTGCCCCCCATCTCATGCCGTGTCCACCTCGGGGCCGTGAGGCTGCCCACGGCCACCCCCTTTCAGAGAAGGAAACCCGGCCTTGTAGCCCTTCACCCCACCACGAAGGAGCTACTAGGGGGACACTGTGCAGGGTCAGGGGTTCCCGCCCCTCTTTCTCATCCCCAGCCTGCGGCCCGCGGTGTGGGGACACCCGCGTGGGGCGAGGGGAGGACGCGAGCCCGGGGGGTCCCCGCCCCTGCCCGGGACCCAGGCTCCATGGGGAGGACGCAGCTATGCCTGGGGTCCAGTGCCCCGCGCCCTGCGCCCCCCGCTCGGACCCAGGCTCCGCGGGGAGGACGCAGCTATGCCTGGGGTCCGGCCAGCGCCCCCCGCCCCTGACCCCGCTCCCCACCTGTAGGCCAGGGTCATGCACTCGAAGAGCTTGGTGAGCGAGGCGTCGATGGACAGGTGGCAGGAGCTGGCCTTGCCGAAGCAGTAGGTCTGGCACGTCTGCTTGTTGACCGTGTCGAAGTCGTAGCCCTTCTTGGGCGGGTGCTCGCGGTGCGGCGACGACACCATGAAGTGGCCGCTGTGGATGATCTGCTGGCGGCGCGGGGGCTCCTCACGGCCCGGCCCGGCCCGGGG